AAAAAAAATTAAACTTTTTTTAAGAATTTCCATGAAAATTCCAACTCCCTTCCAGGTTTGGTTTAAACCCCAACCCCCCGCTTCCCCCCCACCAATTGGTTTACCCTTTAGTTCCCCCACACACCCGTTCCCGTAGTTAGTTTCACCAAGTCTCATTTTTCATGCCCAGACAGGGGCCCTTTTTTTTCCTTTTTTCCCCCCCGGAATTCTTTCCCCAACCGTTTTCGGGCCCGTTTTCCTTTGAAGGGGTTTTTTTTCCTTAAAAAACCTTGGGGGGGGGGGGGGGGGGGCGACGCGGAGTGTAAGACGCTTGAAAAAACAAGGATACCAGCCTGTGCCGTGGTGATAGATAACGCTCAAGTTAGCATTACGACGCACCGCCAAATAGCATTACGACGCAAAGACGAGGACGCGTGGTGCCACGACGGGGGAGGTACTAAAAAAAAGAGGCTGGTACGCACACGCTATTTAGAAAAACGAAAACCAAAAATCATCAAGAAAAAAATCAACACATGCCCGCGGTTCTCACCGTGGCGCAACACACGCGCCTATTTTGCTTCTCACCGCAAAAATTCTAAAATCATCAGGGTTGCGATGCAACTCCTCACCCAGCGGGAAAGATTGCGTGCAAACAGTGGTGACGCGTCAATGGTCTGTGCAGCAAGTTGAAGGAGTCCAAGCGGTGGCTTTCATGTGTTTTCATTCATACCCCCAAACGCCATCTAATCCAGTAGCTAGCGCGCTCTGCGCTAACGTCGTCGACGTTGTTTCCTCGCACGCGCGCAACAAAGTTGGCGTTTATTCTCGAGCAAGAAGAACAAAAATAAAAACTGCCAGTAAACAACAACCAAAACAACAACCAGGGGCTGGTCGCCTGTCTCAAGACGGTGGTGCAATTACCTGTCCCTGTCCCTGTCCCTTCTCCCCCCCCTCCGCTGCTGCTGCTCTCGCCGCCACCAGCGGCGGCACGCTTGCGGAGCAGGTAGGCGCCGCCGCCCAGCGCCGCCAGCGCGAGTATCGCGGCGAGCGCCGCTCTTTTCCCCACCTGGGCACCCTTTTGTTTCACCTCTGCATTCCAGGGAACCCCCCCCCCCCGCGGGCGCCAACGAAAAGAAAGCGGGGAACAACGGAAAAACTTTTGAGATTTTCGCACCTTGTTGTACATACCACTCAGCGAAAAAAACAAACCTTCGGGTCTGTAAAGCAGGGTAGAGCAGGGTAGAGCAGAGCAGGAAAGAGGAGCTAGCTGCTCTCTTCTCTCACATCTGGCCAGAAAAGTCTCCTCTAATGAAAACAATGACCAACAATAGCGTTTCACTGCTGCGCATGGGGCTATTGCAATTGCGTCACATAGCGGTAGAAGCAGCGCCTCACTCTCTCGTGCATCTGTCCTGCCCTCTATCTCTCCCTCTTTCCTTCTGCATGTTCCTATATCTTCTCCCCAACCCATATCTCTCTATTATGTGCCTCTGTCTCTGTCTCTCGCCCTGTTGCCGTCTCTGCCTGTCCGTCTGTCTATGTTTCTGTCTCTGTCTCATTTCCTCGCCCCCCCCCCCCCCCCCCCACAAAGTTTC